ACAGTGATTATTCTAGTTAGAGATTCATGAGTCTAACAGCCTCAGGGTAGAAGCTGTTCCTCAGTCTAGTGGTTCTACACTTAATGCTCCTTAACCTCCTTCCTGAGGGGAGTGGGGCAAAAAGTGTGTGTGCTGGGTGGGTGGGGTCCTTCATGATGCAGGTGCCCCTCTTCCTGCATCTGGAGGTGTAGATGTCTGTAATGGTGGGGAGGCTGATTCCAACAGATTTCTGTGCAGCCTTCACCACTCTCTGCAAAGCTTTTCTTTCTGCAGCTGTGCAGCCTCCATGCCACACATTGATGCTCGAGCACAGGATGCTCTCCACTGCACACCTGTAGAAGGAGGTGAGGACTGAGCTTCCCAGACCAGCTTGCCTCAGTCGTCTGAGGAAGTAGAGTCTCTGATGAGCTTTCTTGATCACGCTGGTGGTGTTGTTGCTCATGTGTGTGTGTCTGTGCGTGTGTGAATGAACACACAAACAATAGTCCTACCCTACTTCGCGGTTCGACTTTCGTGGATTCGCTCTTGCAGTTTTTCAAGGCAAGACTGAACACAAGAAAAAAAAAAATTGTACAGGACACATGATTCATCCATCCATCCATCCATCCATTTTCTTCCGCTTATCCGGGGTCGGGTCGCGGGGGTAGCAGTCTAAGTAGGGAGGCCCAGACTTCCCTCTCCCAACCCACTTGGGCCAGCTCCTCCGGGGGAATCCCGAGGCGTTCCAAGGCCAGCCGAGAAACATAGTCCCTCCAATGTGTCCTGGGTCTTCCTCTGGGTCTCCTCCCAGTGGGATGTGTCCGGAACACCTCACCAGGGAGGTGTCCAAGAGGAATCCTACCCAGATGCCCGAGTCACCTCAACTGGCTCCTCTCGACGTGGAGAAGCAGCGGCTCTACTCTGAGTCCCTCCCGGTTGATCGAGCTTCTCACCCTATCTCTAAGGGAGAGCCCAGACATCCTGCAGAGAAAACTCATTTTGGTCGCTTGTATCCGAGATCTCGTTCTTTCGGTCCCACCCAAAGCTCATGACCATAGATGAGGGTAGGAACGTAGATCGATCGGTAAATTGAAAGCTTCGCCTTTTGACTCAGCTCTCTTTACCACGACAAACCTGTACAGCGCCTGCTTCACTGCAGATGCTGCACCTATCCGCCTATCAATCTCATGTTCCATTTTTCCATCATTCGTGAACAAAACCCCAAGATACTTGAACTCCTCCACTTGGGGCAGGACCTCCTCCCTGACCCGGAGAGGGCACTCTACTCTTTTCCAGCTCAAGACCATGTCCTCGTATTTGGAGGAAATGATCTTCATCCGGGCCGTGTCGCACTCGGCTGCGAACCGCTCCAGCGAAAGCTGTAGATCAAGATCTGATTAAGCCAATAGGACCACATCATCTGCAAAAAGCAGAGTCACAATCCTAAGGCAACCAAAACGGATCCCCTCAACACCTTGGCTGCGCCTAGAAATTCTGTCCATAAAAGTTATGAACAGAATCGGTGACAAAGGGCAACCTTGGCGGAGTCCAACTCTCACCGGGAACAAGCCCAACTTACTGCTGGCAATGCGGACAGGCTCTGACACCGGTCATACAGGGACCTAACAGCCCGTATCAAAGGGCCCGGTACCCCATACTCCCAGAGTACCCCCCACAGGGTTCCCCGAGGGATGCGGTCGAACGCTTTCTCCAAGTCCACAAAGCACATGTAGACCGGTTGGGCAAACTCCCACGCACCCTCCAAGACCCTGCTGAGAGTGTAGAGCTGGTCCAGTGTTCCACGACCAGGACGAAAACCGCACTGCTCCTCCTGAATCCGAGGTTCGACTATCCGACGAACCCTCCTCTCCAGAACCCCTGAATAGACCTTACCAGAATAGACCTTACAAGGGAGGCTTAAGAGCGTGATCCCCCTGTAGTTGGAACACACTCTATGGTCCCCCTTCTTGAATAGGGGGATCACCACCCCGGTTTGCCAATCCAGGGTAACTTCCCCCAATGTCCACGCAATATTGCAGAGTCGCGTAAGCCAACACAACCCTACAACATCCAGAGCCTTAAGGAACTCCGGGCGAATCTCATCCACCCCTGGGGCCCTGCCACCAAGGAGCTTTTTAACCACCTCGGTGACCTCAGCACCAGAGATTGGAGGGCCCAACCCAGAGTCCCCAGGCTCCGCTTCCTCAGTGGAAGACGTGCCGGTGGGATTGAGGAGGTCTTCAAAGTATTCTGCCCACCGACCCACGACATCCCGAGTTGAGGTCAGTAGCACACCACCCCTATTATAAACAGTGTTGGTGGTGTACCGCTCCCCCCCGCCCCCCACCCCACCCCGAGATGCCGGATGGTGGACCAGAATTGCCTCGAAGCCATGTGGAATTCATTCTCCATGGCTTCTCCAAACTCCTCCCATGCCCGAGTTTTTGCCTCAGCGACCACCCAAGCCGCATGTCGCTTGGACTGTCGGTACCCATCAGCTGCTTCCAGGGTCCCACAGGCCAAAAAGGCCCGATAGGACTCCTTCTTCAGCCTGACAGCATCCCTCACCGCCGGTGTTCACCACCGGGTTCAAGGGTTGCCGCTGCGACAGGCACCGACAACCTTGTGGCCGCAGCTCCGGTAAGCCGCTTCGACAATAGAGGCACAGAACATGGCCCACTCGGACTCAATGTCCCCTACCTCCCCCGGAACATGTTCGAAGTTCTCCCGGAGGAGGGAGTTAAAGCTCCGTCTCACAGGAGACTCTGCCAGACGTTCGCAGCAAACCCTCACAATATGTTTGGGCCTGCCAGGTCTGACCAGCGTTCTCCCCCACCATCGGAGCCAACTCACCACCAGGTAGTGATCAGTGGACAGCTCCGCCCCTCTCTTCACCCGAGTGTCCAAGACATGTGGCCGCAGATCAGATGAGACGACAACAAAGTCGATCATTGAACTGCGGCCTAGGGTGTCCTGGTGCCAAGAGCACATATAGACACCCTTATGCTTGAACATGGTGTTCATTATGGACAATCCATGACGAGCACAGAAGTCCAACAACAGAACACCGCTCGGGTTCAGATCAGGGGGGGCAGTTCCTCCCAACCACACCCCTCCAGGTCTCAATGTCATTGCCCACGTGAGCACTGAAGTCCCCCAGCAGAACAAGAGAGTCCCCAGGAAGTGCACTTTCCAGTACCCCCAAGGACTCCAAAAGGGTGGATAATGTGAACTGCCGTTTGGTGCATAAGCACAGATGACAGTCAGAACCCGTCCCCCCACACGTAGGCGGAAGGAGGCTACCCTCTCATTCACCGGGGTGAACCCCAACACACAGGCACCAAGATGGGGGACAATAAGTATGCCCACTCCTGCTCGGCGCCTCTGATCAGGGGCAATTCCAGAGCAGAAGAGTGTCCAACCCCTCTCAAGGAAACTGGTTCCACAGCCAGAGCCATGCGTAGAGGTGAGTCCGACTATTTCTAGCCGGAACCTCTCAACCTCACACACCAGCTCAGGCTCCTTCCCCATCAGTGAGGTGACATTCCACGTCCCAATAGCCAGCTTCTGTAGCCGAGGATCAGACCGCCAGGGTCCCCGCCCTCGGCCACCACCCATCCCACATTGCACCCGACCCCTTTGACACATGATCATCAACTTTAATATTACTCGTGATTGGGACAGTACTGGATACTACAAAGTAAAAAGTTACTGAAAAAATAAAATACTCCAGATAGGCACCGCCATTTTGTGGTTTTCCCAATACACTGTATTGCCATTCATAAAGAATACATTTCCCAGAAGCCCCATTGCCTTTTGCTCAAATGCGTAGAGGTGGTGGTGGTGGGGGGGTGACCCTGCAATAAACAAGAGACTACTATGGTGGTATGGTGTTAGCTCTAGAGCTAATATTGTTCCAGAATGCATTGTGTCAGAAAAATAATGCAATGTCCTTAAGTGAAAAAATGTAAGACATATTTTTAAAGTAATTAGTAATTTTCATGTGTGACAACAACTTCTAGTATAAGAGAGAAATAAGAACACATTAAGACCAGTATGTGCAGCTGGTTTGAGAACCCTAACACTACTCCAATACAACCTTCAATTTTCTAAAGTCCACATTTATTCTAGTGTATTTTGTGAATTCCCATCACGTTTCCAACTTCCCCCCAACCCCATTCAGTGAGCCGTACCTCATAGTTCTCTCTGATCCAGATCTGTTTCTCCAAGAAGGTCTGCTTGGCGTCTTCGTCCAGATCGTCGAACTGAGACCGCGACATCTTCATGTAGCGCCTGAGGACGGACAAGGCTGAGGTGAGAATCGTACTCGAACACCTCGCCCAGGGCTCTCAGCCCCAACACACCTGATGATGTAGAGCTTCTCCTCTTCTCCATACTCCTCCCTGCAGATGGTGAAGCGGTAGACCCAGGAGACGTACCAGGCCACGTACAGGCCCAGGTAGTAGGGGAAGAGCACCATCTGACACAGCAGGATGTCCGACACCTTGGGCTTCTTGTAGCCTCCTTTAATGTCAATTTTGTTCTTGATAATGTCTCGGATCACCTCCTCCTCTTGCTCCCGGATCTCCTCCTTGGAGCGCCGGTTCTTGCCCTTCTCCTTGGTGCGATTGAGGAGACCCTGCTGCTTGGCAATCTCCGTGGCCTGGATTCGGTACTTGGGGACCGTGACCAGGTAGCTGATGGCCTTGTTGTAGCTGTTGAACCAGCTGTAGTACTAAAAGGAGGCAGGCTGTTAGTTTTTTCAGGTTTCCTTTGGACTTTAGCTGCTCTTTCACTCTGTCTCAGTCCTTAGACCTGAACGGTTTCACAGGTTTTTGTTTGTACCTGGATGATGGAGATGGTGCAGATGGTGACAAGGATGACGATCCTGACGTCCACTTTGGGGGCGAGCCGCCTGCGGTAGTAAGCATAGTAGTGCTGGTAGTACTCCTCAGGGTGGTCCAGCATGTAGTCGTAGTCCCGGCGCGTGTCCTCATCCTGCACAGGAAAAATACACGACTTAGTTTCTGCTCTGGACTGAACTGACAGCTCAAACAGGGTTCAAAAGTCTGCATGCTCAGGGAGGAATGAATGCAAAGTTTCATTTGAACAATGTTGAGAGCAACACAGCAGCATATCTGGAGTGAAACCAACAAATCATTTTAACACAAACACCTTAATGCATGGGGTGCCAAACCCACTTACAAAAGGGGGCCAAATTTAAAACAATTTCAAACTAAGGGCCGGTTTCAGAATCTACATGAATTCAAGTTTATTTATTTATTCATTAAGTTTATTTGATAGGGACTGACACACAACGACACAGACAAACTGAATAAAGCAGCACATGCCTGCATCATGGTGCTTACAGCGTGAGCCAGTTTGCAGCACTTGTCCCTGGATGGGCTTTTATACACACGATATGTAAGTGTTAGATAAGAAGTGTTAGAACCCAACATCTTTTCTTGGTTGCAGGTTCCTCAACAAGAGTTTGATTGGTCTCATTTGATGTTCTCTGTTGCACTTTTGACATCATAATCAAAGATTACTGAAAAAAATGTATGTGATAAAAGTATTTTACATTTAAGATAACATTTTGGGGGCCAGATAAGATGTCATCAAAGACCACAATTGGCCCCTGGGCCTTGAGTTTGACACATATGCCTTAATGCAACTACCAAGAAAGGTGGTGGAGGACTCAAATGATTTGGGCTTTGGTTAAGAAAACGTCCTCCAACTTTATGACTAGGGATGCACGATATTATCAGCATGTTATCGGTATCGGCCGATATTAGCAATAAAGTTAAATATCGGACAGCGGCCATCCCATCAAAATAACTCCGCGCACCACGTTATGACGTCACGTGCGCCGTTGAGTTTAGATTTGTGAAAATGTATAAATTTGCACTGTTGAGTGTTGTCATTGTGTTAGAGTAAATGTCATGAATAAATCTGACATTAAACATAACCCCAGTTGAAGTGTTGCATCATCAGCCCCTTTTTAGCATCTGCACGTGGTTGCAGGTCAAACTGACAAAGACCGTGCAGAATAATGTAGAGTTTTAATTCCACTGCAGAGGAAGCTCTTTAGTCTCTAAGAAGGTCAAGAGGAAAAAATATTTGTATCAGTCAAACAATTTTTAACATATCGGCCAAAAATCCAATATTGTGCATTCCTATTTATCCTTAGTGAAAAACTGACCATCTTACAAAAACAGACAATTGAATATTTTTGTTCACAATAAATAAGTCAGTCATTCTTTAAAGAGCCATCTGAAATTACGTTTGCGTTGTTTTAGCTCCTGAGGATATATTCATTCACACTCATCTACTCACAGATTGGTTCGTGCTGCTGTTGTTCGGCGTATTGTTTCTTTTTATTGTATTCTTAGTTTAGCATATTTCGTAGCGTACATCTTAGATCCTTACTACAGTTTATTTTACAACTTATATTCTTCCTGTTGTTGGATGTAACTGGGACCCTGTGTACACAATTTCATTCCACCTCATACCACATGTGATGCGAATGACAAAGAACCTTGAATCCTTGAAGGGTCTTTGGTTTGAAAAAAAAAAACTAAATCCTACAATTCAGTTATTTATTTATTTATGGCATTTTTCCGCATTAACATAAGAATGTTCTTAAATTCCCATATAGAGTTTTGGGAAGACCATCCCGCCCACTGAACCCTCCAGAACCTGAAAACAAGGCTTCATTTTCTGTCAAACTTCCACGGGTTGGCCAGTGGTCGAACATGGCGGGTTTCTTTTTTTTAATTTATAATTTATTGACACATTGTCGTTTTAAGACTGGACTTCAGACTTTTGTTTTTGATAAATCCTATAGTTGGTTGGCTTGTCATGCTGTCTTAAGCTTAGACTACTGGAGGACAAATTGACCTCATTTCCTTAAATAAATTGTTAAAACTGAATAGTTTCCATTTGATACTATTTATATATTAACATGTGATTCTTGACCTGCCATTGTGTATCTGTTCCTCTCAAACCCAGCCGGTTGAAGCAGATGGCCACTTGTCCTGAGCCTGGTTCTGTTAAAGGTTTCTTCCTCATGAGGGAGTTTTTCCTTTCCACTGTCGCCTTCATGCTTGCTCAAGATGAGAGTTCTGTGATGGAGTTAAACTCAAAGCTGCTCCTCAGATAAATAATGTTAAATTATTATTTATTAATATGAATGTTTCTGTTCAGTGCTCTGAGACGACTTCTGTTGTGACTTGGCGCTTTATAAATAAACTGAATTGCACCGAAATTATTTTTGTCTCCCAAAACTTGTGCACGTCGATTTGTTGTTTGCTTTTACCGAGCCGGTTGTCCACCGAGCTGCGTTCCGGTCCATCTGCAACCGGTGCCATGTTTTCTGAGGAGCCAACAGGACTTTGTTGGCCCCTGAGCAGCTGATCCTTCAGCCTGCATGCACGTGGTTCTGCTGTTTCGTGTCAAATGTTTACTCGTGCACAAATAGTGTGTTTTTGCTCTTTACATCCGAACTAAAATGGTTTGGTCAGACGCTTCCAGATGTGATTTTTACATCTTCCCTCAAATGTCAAACCAAGTGGGCTAATATGACATCCGTCGGTTTAGAGACAGATGTAAAATAATAATACAAACATTACTGAAAGGAATGTAGTAGTTTATGTTTGATAAATATGGGATCATAAAATGCATTTATAAAGGAATTCAATTGGGTTGATTGTTCTCCACAGAAACACTAGAGGGCGCTAACGTGAGGTTACGACTGACATGACGTCATCGACCCTCTTTTCCTCCAACACTGTCATTGTTTTGCGGTCATAAAAATTTTGTAGAAACATAATCAGAAAAAAAATCTTTAAACGTCGTCAGAGGCGCTCATGTAATCCAGACAGTGTTAACCTGAGCGTTGGGTGGAATACAGTTTATTCCATTTCCAAATCCTAAACAGAGTGTGGAAGAATGTAAAAGTTGATAAAGGCCGGTGGCCGACCTCACGATCAGCTGAATACAACAGTGATGAACAGGAAGTACCACATGCTCATCTGTATGAAGGTCACTGCAGGTAAATCCTCCATTTTCTGTCAGAATTATAGTAAAAAATACTTTGGGTCAATGATTGTGAATGTTTTTATATTGTACGGTTAAAGTCAGGTCTTCTGGACGGATTCTTCTTCGTTGATCCAAAAGACTTCTTCAGACTGAAGAAGAATCCATCCAGAGGATCCGACTTTAACCTGGTTAGATTTATCTACCTGGATTATTGAGCGTGCGTCAGAATGTTTTCATACTGGCTGACATCTTTCCCTCCCGCTACGAGAACTTGCCGTCTCAAAACAGCCTCAGTATCTGGACCTGGAGGGCGACTCGCGGTGTCTCCCCGACGCCCATGAACCACATCTGTGCAGACGAAGAGCGCCCTTGGGAGTTGAGGCCTGCGCAGCTGGTTTCAGGACGCGAGAGGCGGAGGAACCCCCCGCTGAACTCCACTGAAGTGTTCGTGTGCTGTGACGTTACACAGGAGAGCAGGCTGGAGGTTCATTCTGTCGCATCGCGTGAAGGAATTCATGCATTCATGTCCTGAATGGATCCTTGCAAGTAAACGACCAGTTAAAAATCTTCACCTGCCGTGAGTTCGTGGTTCTTTACTGAGATGACGCAGGTGAACGAGAACTTTCCAACAATTACATCGTATGCTTACTGGTTAAATGACGGGTTAACGCTTCAGCTAGTTGTGCTTTGTTGCGTGTGTACATGAGACATGTTGTAACTTCTGGTTGCACAAGTCGTTAGTTTGCTACGATGAGTTAACACTAAACTGATTGTACGCAAAGCGTTTATTAGCTTGTGTAAAGTTTTTACTTTTGTTACGTTCCGCGTTTCACCGGAACGCCTCCGGTTAACGCCGCATGCCGGAGGTTCGCTTCACGTTTCCTCTCACCGTGAGTGTCATGTCAATTCTGCCAACATTTTTAAATGTCTAAAGAACTTTAAGGTTCTGTCAGGAACAGTCGTGTTTATTGACAACACCAAAAATAAAAATAAAATAAATTTAAAAAACAGAAACAAAAATAAATGTGTGGGTGATTTTTTTTCCCCATGAGAGCTCCTGAGGGTTAAACTAATTTTAACTGTGAAGGTTTTTGTGTATAAACAGCATAGACAGCTCTCAGCAACTATCAAGCACGGTGGAGGAGGACTAATGATGTGGGCACTTTAGTGTTAGAGCACTCCGCTCTGAGCGTATATCTTAGTGCATAGTGTTTATCTTAGACCCTTATATACAGTTCATGTTTATACTTTATATTTTGGGGTGTAACTGAGACCCAGAGTACACAAGTTCGTTCCACCTCATGTACCACAAGTGATGCTGCGAATGACAGAAGATACGTGAACTTGAACGTTTCAAGAACAGATGTTTAGATTGTGGACCTGCTGAGGACCAGAACGTATAATAATACGTTGTGAAGCCTAAACTTTAAAATTAAACGGGATTTCTTTTCACCACCTGCGTGAAAAATGAACGTCATTGTTTGTTAACAGGAACCGGCTGCAGATACGGGACTTGCTTTCAGAGGTCGGTACCGACCTTTAACGTCTCGTAAGCGGTAGCGATGAGCAGGAACTTCTCTGCGGACTCCTCGTCCCCGGGCTCCTCGGGCTTGTAGCGGTCCGGGTGGTACCGGCGGGCCAGCTGCCGGTAAGCCCGGGCGATCTCCGCCTTGGAGGCCTCCCTGGTGACGCCGAGCACGTCGTAGCAGACCTCCGTGCCGCAGTACAGACCCTCCACCAGCGCCGTGACCGCGGGCAGGGAGGACGCGGAGACCAGGAGCACCGCGAGCCGCCACCAGCTGCCCCTCACCGGGCCCCCCGCGGCTCCGCAGCGACTCCGCTCCGGAGACCAACTCATCTCTACGTCTCCTACTGCTCCTACTGGAGCGTCTGACGTGGCGCGCGCTGATGACGACATCCATGCGCCCGGAGTAGAATCGAAGATCGTTTATGTTTCCCAGCATGGATAGTCTCCCAGAGTTTATTTAAAATGAAGTAATAAGCGTTTCAGGAACGTTTACTCTTTTTACAGTTATCCTCACTCATTACCTATCAAGGTAAAGTATGGAGTTTATTCGAGTATTTTTTGTTTGTTTGTTTAATGAACAGCATTTGGAAAACCGAAACTTTCAAGTTAAGCCTATGTTTTAACATTTGAATTAGATGAATACGCTTATTCATATGTTTAAAATCATTAATATGTGATTGTAAAGTCCTATTAATCCCACCACCTCCATTCAGGTGTCAGGAAAACAGCTTATCTTTAC